TCAGCTCAAGGCTAGCATTCTACCACTTGGACTACTGCGCCAAGAAGTGGTTTTCTGGTGGTTTATTGGAGATAAGAGTCTTACAGACTTTCCTACCTGGACTGGCTTTGAACCTTGATCCTAAGATCTCAGCTTCCTGAGTAGCTAGGGTCACAAGCGTGAGCCACAGGTGCCTGGCTGTTTGTTTTTTTTTTTTTGTTTTGTTTTTGTCAGTCACGGGGCTTGAACTCTGGGCCTGGGTGCTGTCCCTCAGCTCTTCAGCTCAAGGCAAGCGCTCTACCACTTGAGCCACAGCTCCACTTCTGACTTTTTCTGCTTATATGGTGCTGAGGAATTGAATCCAGGGCTTCATGCATGCAAGGCAAGCACTCTACCACTGAGCCACCTTCCCAGCTCTGGCTGTTTTTTTTTTTTTTTAACCAGTCCTGGGACTTGAATTTAGGGCCTGGGTGCTGTCCCTGAACTTCTTTTGTCAAGGCTAGCACTCTACCACTTTAGCCACAGCACTACTTCTGTAAATCACCTTTTTAAAAAAATTTTTTAGGGCTAGGAAGGTGGCTCAGTGGTAGAGTGCTTGCCTTGCATGCATGAGGCCCTGGGTTCCATTCCTCAGTACCACATAAGCAAAAAGAAAAAGCCGGAAATGGCGCTGTGGCTCAAGTGGTAGAGCGCTAGCCTTGAGCTGAAGAGCTGAGGGACAGCACCCAGGCCCAGAGTTCAGGTCCCACGACCGGACCCCCCAAAAAAACAAAAAAAAAACCAGTATATGAATACAAAGTGTCTGACAACATTGTCACCCATTGCTCCTAACCCACCCCTTCTCTCACTTTTCTTTTTTTATTTTATTAATTTATTTTTTGGGGGGTCCAGTCATGGGGCCTGAACTCTGGGCCTAGGTGCTGTCCCTCAGCTCTTCAGCTCAAGGCTAGCCCTCTACCACTTGAGCCACAGCGCCACTTCCGGCTTTTTTTTCTTTCTGCTCATGGGGTGCTGAAGAATCGAACCCAGGGCCTCATGCATGCAAGGCAAGCACTCTACCACTGAGCCACCTTCCCAGCCCCTCACTTTTCTTTTTTTAATTGAGTTTAGGTGATTACATAAATTTCACATATTTCACAGTATTGTTGAATAGTGATATTTAAAGTTACAAACACATTTTAACCTTCACAAGGCAAATTGTCATTATCATGGTCTATAAAGTTCGTGAATTCTGTGAGCTTTGACAATACAATTAGTTTTTCTGTAAGTCACCTTTTTAATAACAGTAAAAAAAAAATTATACAGCCAGGCACTGGTGGCTCATGCCTATAATCCTTGCTATTCAGTGTGATCTGAAGATCACAGTTTAGCCAGCCTGGGCAGCAAAGTTTGTGAGACTCTTATCTCCAATTAACTACCAGAAAACCAGAACAGTGGCACTGTGGCTCAAGTGGCAGAGCACTTGCCTTGAGCTAAAGAGCTCAGGAACAGCCAGGCCAAAGTTTAAGCCCCACAACCTGCCCCCCCCCAAAAAATATATATGTACATATGTCTGTGAGACTTTTTTTTTTTTTGTCTGGTTGTGGGTCTTGAACTTAGGGCCTGGGTATTGTCCCTGAACTATTTCACTTGAGGCTGGTACTCTACCACTTTGAGCCACAGCTCTACTTCTATTTTCGGTGATTAATTGGAGATAAGAATTGAAACTCTTTCCTGTCTGGACTGGCTTTTAACAGTAATCCTTGGATCTCAGCTTCCTGAGTAGCTAGTATTATTGTTGTGAGCCACCAGCCTTCTACTTTTTTTTTTTTTTTTGCCAGTCCTGGGGCTTGAACTCAGGGCCTGGGCACTGTCCCTGAGCTGGTTTTGCTCAAGGCTAGCATTCTACCACTTGAGCTACAGAGCCACTTTTGGCTTTTTCTGTGTATGTGGTACTGAGGAATGGAACCCAGGGCTTCATGCATGCTTGGAAAGCACTCTACCACTAAGCCACATTCCCAGCCCTGTGAGACTCTTATCTCCAATTAACTACAGAAAACTGTAAGTGGTGCTGTGGCTCAAAGTGGTAGAAGGCTAGCCTTGAGTGAAAAAGCTCAGGGACAGTACCCAGGCCCTGAGTTCAAGATCCACAATTGAAAAAAAAAGTTATATAGATACAGCAGGCTGGATACTAGAGGCTCACATTTGTGTAAACCTAGCTATTAAGGAGGCTAAGAGCTAAAGGATTGTGATTTGAAACCAGCTGTGGAAGAAAAGTCTTGAGACTTCACCTTCAAATATGTCAGACTGGAGGCATGGCTAAATGGTAAAGTGCCATCTGTGATTGAGATCACAAATCTCTGAGTTCAAGCTCCTGTACCAGCACAGTACATTATAGAGATACTACAGGCAATTTTAGAGATTTGGAATTTATTTACCCTTTTGTACACTAGTGTTTGATCTTTAGTCATCTTAAGGGTTTTTGTTTTCCAAATCGCAGAATATAATAATAATATTACTTTTACTAATTATTATTATTATTATTATTGACAGGGTCTTACTGCATAGCACAGGCTGCTTTAACATGGCTATACTGTTTCTTAGTCCAGTTATTTTTTTTTGGTTTTGTTTTGTTATGGGTGTGTGTGTGTGTGTGTGTGTGTGTG